CTTATTAAAAAGGCAGGAAATAGTATTTTGTGGTGCCTTTTTCTGAGCAATATCAAAGCTCAGCCTCTGGATCAACAATGTCTGGTTGGGGTGAGAGGGGGACATTCTTCTCCCTTTTTTTTGCTCCTGGTTTAGCTGTTTACAAACCCCGTGTGCACTCTGCTTCCTCAGACAGATTTGGTAGTACCGGGCAGGCTCCATCCTGGCCATAAGAGCTATCTTGGCCCCAGAAGTGGATGTCTTGATGTGAGCACGTCCGCATCCCACTCAGTGCTGGGAATCACTGGAGCAAGGGGCCCTGGCTCAGGGCCAGGCACGGAGCCCAAGGGCATCCTTGAGTTTCAAACTGCCCTTCTGCCAAAATGTTTCTCCCAGTCATCCTTACACTGTGAAAATCCACATTGAGTTAGATAGTGCCTTCTTGTTCAGAGGTGAAAAGCTGTTAATGTAGAGCTGTACCCCTGGAAATGAAGAAGGTCCAGATGATACACTCCAACACCTGAAAAGAAGGAGGAATGCTAACCCATGCCCCTGAGGGGTGGCTCACCCTCCATTCCTGGGCTGGATAATGTCTCCTCCCTGCTGGGGTGGAGGAGACCCTGGCATGGAGAGCCCCATGTGAGTCCAGCCAGCACAACCTGCCCTGCTCCCTGTGCTGTTGCCTTTCTCCCCAGCTCTGGGCCACACACAGGCCACAGCAGCACAGGGGAAGCAGATTTTCTCAACCTAGCAATGCTGCCTACAAGGTAATGCAAAGGATTGCCATCTGTGTTGCTTTGCATTCTCTTGTTGTCCCAAATCTGTTGCAAGAAGGAAACATAATATTTGATTCTGGGAAGCTTCTGGTCCAAAGCTAGTGAGACCATGGGCCATTTGATGCAGCTCCGTGGCTGCAAGAGAGCAAGGGGGGATAAATGATCTTCCATCTGCTGCCAGTGAGCATTTGGGAACTTCTGGGGTCACAGGTTGCTCTGAGGCCTCCACAGCTCCCTGGAAGTCATGCCACAGATCTGTTTAGAAGCTTTTGGGAACCACACAAACTCCTGAGATAGCCAGCTCCAGCAGTGGAAGTTAACTGTGCATTCTGTGAAATGGCTCATCCTTTTCTGAGATTAGGACCTATTCTCTGCTAACCCCATGGGGTGTCATGAAAAGCAGTGAAGAGCAGTTTTTCCCTGTTCAGATTTCCCATTTGAGTCCTGGTTTCTTAAATCTCTCATACCTTAGATCTCTCTCATACCTTCTCTGTTTTGCATGTTAAGAGTCCTAGCACTTTTGCCATGTCCAGGCGTGTACTTCCAGTTTCTTGGAGGCTGTTCTCTCCTGTCACTGCACCCTTCTTAAGATGGGGACATCAGAACCAACAGGGGGGCTCATGATGCAGACACACCAGAGAATTAACAAATTACCTCCTCAGAATTGTCAACCTTCCTTTTATTTCCTTTCCTAACCACCACTGAGCGCACCAAACAATTCACAGCACCTCCTGGGTCTCTTCCTCAGTGACAACAGCAGATGTGGCATCCATCAGTCTGCAGCCATGGCAAGGGCTGTTGGTGCCCTGTGCACGCTACTTTATGTTCATCCTCGACCACCTTATTGCCCGATTGCTTTGACATTGTGGGAGCCTTCTGCTGTCATTAAGTTGAGACATATAGGTAGCTAGATTCCTGTCTGCCAGGTAAACCTAGAAACTGTAGGCAAGGGAGCAGGACCCTGAGTTTGCCCAGAGTCTGAAACAAGAACAAGTATAGTTTAGCCTGTCCCAAGCACAGTCGCTATTGCTGCTTGTCAGAAAAACAGGAACGGACAGAGCCTTGAGTGACATGGTCTAGTGTGAGTCATCCCTGCCCATGGCATGGGGTTGGAGCCAGATGACCTTAAGGTCCTTTCCAACCCAAACCATCCTATGATTCTATGATTCTGTATGCACAGATCTACCCCATCCACTCTTATCTGGGTTGTTTTTCTTTCAGGGCAGCTGCTGGAGGTGGTTATGCCTTTGGAAAGCCGAAGGCTGCTCCAAACCCTGGACTTCAGCACTCAGTGTTGTTGCTGGGGAATAGTGACTTTCCCCACAGCAGATGGAGCACTCATGTGACACTCCGTACACTATGTATCATCTATTTACATCTTTTTTTACATTAGCAACAGATGGCTTAGCATAATTATTTTTTTTTAAATTAGGGGGAAAATGTATCTTAAACTTCACACATTTTCTGGAGCCTATGGTATTTACTTTTACAGCACCAATGCTGAGGTCTTCAGTGTAAGGACCTCCCTCACCTTTCCATTGTCCTCTTTGAAGAGTTGTCACACTGAAGACGCAGGTAGAGAGGACAGCATTAATCAAGCAGAAACTCTCACAGTCATGCAAGGGGGGAGAGAAAAAGGCAGCTCCGAAGCCAGAAACACAAAAGAGAATAAAAATGAACTCATGGACAATAGTAGGACCAGAAGGGAAGAAGAAAAGCAAATCCTGCCTTCAAAAGTTGATCAGACTCAAGTCCTGCAAAAGAATATAAAGCTTCAGAAGTACAAAACTTAGCAAAACATGAGTTCAACAGTTGGCTCCTTCTTGTTCCTCTTTTGGCTTGTAAGGCTGTGGGCACTGGGTCTCTGTGACCAAATTTTTCTCTGGAAAGAGAAAACCCCTTCTCTTTCCTGAGAAAACCTTCTCTTTCTCAGGGAGAAAGGTTAGTATAAACCAGGATCTTCCCATTCTCATGGGACTCTCAAAGCTGGGGCTGTAAGCAAGCTGCCAGCTTGGTTTGGTTTAGCATTGTTGATCCTGTCAGAAGAAAAGGTGCTCTTTAACGCCAGTGGAAGAGATACAGGCTAAACCAACAGCAGGCAAGGTACTGAAATCTCTTCTTTGCATGGAAAACAAGTTTGAATGACTAAGGATGAAAAACATCCCCAAAACTGCCAGACAAAAACATCATCCTTGTGCAGTGTCAAACCTCATGCACTGGCATGTGCAAGGGTGGTGCCACTGTCTGGGAATTGGCTGGGGCTTGGTGGGAGAGGGCTATCAGAGGACATGGAGGGCTGTTGGGACACAGGGGGTTTAATATGTATCCTTACTGCAAAGGGCCATATCAGAGGGAAGGGAGCCCTCCATGGGATAACTCATCTGTCCACAACCCCATCAATGCTCAGGACTGTCCATAGGCAAGTATCTGACCTGCCTTTTGCCAACACGAAAGAGCAGAATATAGCTTTAGGTGGAAAATAATTTTGATTGCAGCAGTCCCTGTGACACATCTCTTGAACACAGGCAAGACCCAGATCTGCAGACAGAGCTCTGGGTAAAGGTGGCAGGACCCCTCAGAGGCCAATGGACCAGTGGGTGCTGTGTTTGTAAGTAGGTCTTTCCCTGCTCAGGCATGTGCATCTGCTGTCTGAGATGCCATTCTTTTGCTAGATTGTTTTGACCCATGGACCTTTGCTGCAGTAAACCAGATGATGTGCCTACTCGTTCTTGCTTGGTGTTTCTTAGCAAGCAAACATGGTATGGTGGGTGGATGCAAAGCTAGTTTACATTTTTACGCTAGTTTTACTCCTCTGTAAATCCTACTCAGTAATGACTAATCCCCAAGTTGATTCCCCTTTCCCATTCGGATTATTTTATTTTCACTAGATTTTGGTACTTAATAAAGTTTAACTGTTTAGGGTCTACCTGTTGTGATTCTTCACATGCTATAAGGACAAGTGGCTGGCTCTAAGGCAGTGCCCCCATACTGCTTCTGTGTAGCAGCAAATCCCATGTTAAGGGCAATGGAGATTATAGGACATAGCCCACCCAAGAAAGCATAAATACTTAAGTAAAATGCACAGAAAGAGCTGATTGGAAAAGAAACTACAGCAAATGCCTATAAGGAGCAAGGTGAGACACCAAGACTAGGCACACTGCCCTGAGGAGCCTATCCATTCTGGGTCCATCCGTGAAGCTTCCCTTAGTGGCAGGGACAACTTGTGCCACTGCTTACCTGCTATCATCTTTACCAGGAACAATGCTATCCTGGAGCCACTCCCCTTGGCCAAAGCAAGGAGCACACAAGCAAGCTGACGCTGTGCTCCTTTATGATGAGCTGTTCAACGAATTCATTCCCGCTGGACTCAGGTCACTCTGTCTGCAGCAGCACAAAGAAAGGCAGCGACAGATGCCCTGAGAAGCCAGTGGCCCTCAAGGAAGCTGGAGAGCCCTACAGCCACATCAAGGAGCACAGTGTGAGAAACTCACCCTCTAACAGCCCCACTGGCTGGCAGGGGTGCTGGGCCAGCTACCTCCTCAGCTCAGCCCTTGCCCCAGGGATCAGCTTGCTTCTCTGGCGTTGGGCGAAACTGCTCTGTGGCACTGAGGGTGCAGCAGGGCAGGTCCTGCCTTGCTGTGGCTTCCCTGCATCAGCTTGCCAATGCTGGGACCCATTGCCCAGACTGCAGCTGCACTGTGGCTTGCTTTTTTGAATGTCTCGCACTCCTCATGGGTCTCCATTAGGATCTGGTCTCACCAGCCTTTGCTAGGCAACATACCTTCCTGGGGCTGTTCTTCTAGGCATTTCCTGGGATGGGGGCTGGTCCCCTGGCTCCCTCTGTCCTACTTCCTTCTCCTGTTCTTGGCAATGGAACACCAGCAATTTCCTACTTTATGAGACGTTTGGCCTCTGTTCCGTTGCCCCAGTTCTATGGTGGGGCCTGCAGTGCCCCTGCAAGTCAGTGAGGGCAGCAGCCCACTGCAGAGTAGGAGGTAGGACAGGGAAAGGTCTGCTGGGGCTGGGCTAGCGTGGCTACTTCTGCTGCTGATCTAAAAATATTGCTGTCAATAGCACATTTCTTCTGAGCAAGGTGAAATGAATCAAGAGCAAAGATGGGAATCCAGGAAGGGGTCTGCCTAGCAGCCCAGAGCGGGAAGTTCACAGGATTTCCAGAGAAGCGGCTTTGCCAGCACCATGTTGCCAGTCTCTGCGGTTCTAATCATGTGTCTTACATGTTGTGGGTTGTTTTTTTTTTTTCTAGGGCTCTTGCAGTTGCAATATGATTACTGAGTTCTCCTTTCTACTTTTCATACTGAGACAATCCTTGCTTGTGGGAGCTGTGAACAAAACCATGAGAACAAGAACCCCAGGGGCTCAAAATACCTGTATGTAAATAAAGGGTAACACCACCGAGATTATGTTCAAAGCAATGCCTTGTTTTTCATCAAGAAAAGACTTGCACCCAACAGCCTCAGCGACAGAGAAAACCAGTATCTCCAGCCGTGACTGAAACTGTGTGCAATAGCTCCTTAGTGTACAGGTTCTTCTCCAGCCTCCCAGGTGCAAATACAGCCCTGCTTAACAATAGGTTTGCTTTAATGCCATGCTTCTTCTCATCTCCATTCTCCACTTGCAGTTATCAAACCAGGAGCAAGTTATAGGCATAAGCCAAAAGGTTGCTGGACTCCAAGTCCTTCATCCTTCTTGGGGAAAGGCAGCAGACCCAGGGTGCCCAGCTCCTTGTGTGTTGAGGAGGCAGAACCATGGAGCTGCACCACTGAGCTGTACTGAACTGTCTTCTTCAGATTGCTCCATGAGGAATTCACCCATTTAAACAGACACGTTTCCACCTTCCTTCCTGATGCATGGCCTACAAGATGCAAAACACATTAAGAGGTTGCCTGGAAGGGATATTCAGGTGTGAACTGCTGTCATATACAAGCAATTCATTGAAATTTGCTTTGTGATCTTTACTGTGGTCATTATGCACCACAGTAAGACAGTCAAAGGGGAAAGAACAAAGCTACAAAAACCTGCAAAGAGAAATGAGACTAGAACAGCTTCACATTGTTTGGTTGGATGCTAAAGATGGGATGAAAACATAAACCATAAACTGTCATAAACCAGCTCACTGATGAAGCACATTATAATAGCTATTTTGGGTCATCCTGCATTAAATTGAATATCATGACCTTAGTTACAGCAAGAGCACAAAGGCAACAGCATCAACACCTAGTGAAGAAGGCAGTAAAAGCAAAATTGTGACCTTTAAAGAGTAAGGGCATGTCCCACAGGGTGATGGGAGGCCTCTCCTTGAAAAAGGTGATTTACTGAGGAGTGCTGACACTGCCCTGTATGAAGTGCAGCATGGATTATTTCCAGATCCTTCTGCCTCCCCATCTTGGGAAAAGAAGAAATAGTTTTCCAGAACAAAGGTAGAAAGAGGGAGAGAGGAAAAAACAATTATTGCCTGTGAAGCAGAACATATGCTACAGCAAAGCTGAACAGCTTTCCATGCAACAGATTCTAGCCAAGCTATTAGTAACACCTGATACATCCATGATTCCTCATCAGCTACCTGCCAGCAGTGAGCAATTGACTCAATATTATCAATTATGTTCCTTTACCCCCTCTTTCCCTCCCACCAATTTAGCATCTGTTAGTCATGAGGAATAATCATCTTAGAAAACATGGGACAAACAATGAATTTTTGTAATAAAATGGAATATTATTGTAAATAATAATTAAAGTGTTCTGAAGTAAGGTGGAGCCATATCATTACCCCAGGGATTTTAAGCACTACTATTCAGCAAAACTCTCAGGGAAAGGTAAGCTAGTCGAGCCTAATGTCTGATGTATACAGGTGACGTGCGTCAGAAACATCAGCAGCAAGACAGGTTTGGGCAGATCAGGAGTTCTCTGGCCCCATGTCTGTTAAGACCCGGACCAGCTGCCTCGAAAGTAGCTATGTTTTCATTCATCTGCCCCTTCCCCAGGGAGGACTACTTGTGCAGACACCAGTCCCTGCCTTCAGAAGCCTCCCAGCAGAGGTTCCATTGATGCCCCAGATAGTATCTTCTCCCAATACACTTTAGCAAGTTGCGTCTCATCTGTATCTAATTTCCTGCAATTCAAGATCACTGCTACTTCCTCCAGTCATATTTAATGCAGATAATAGAATCCTCTTTCAACATATCTGAAGACTTGTGTCTTCCTCATGTCCCCCTCTTCTCTTGGAGAGGGACTTTTTTTATAAGAGCAAGTCCTGCTAAGACAAGGGGTAATGGCTTTAAACTGAAAGAGGTTGGGTTTAGATGGGACATAAGGAAGAAGTTCTGTACTGTGAGGCTGGTGAGGTGGTGGCATAAGGATGCCCAGAGGGGCTGTGGCTGCCCCATCCCTGGCAGTGTTTAAGGCCAGGTTGGACAGGGCTTTGAGCAACCTGGTCTAGTGGAAGGTGTCTCTGCCTGTGGGATGGGTTTGGAGTTGCATGAGCTTTAAGGCCCCTTCCAACCCAAACTAGTCTATGATTCTGTGATTCATAGAATAGTTAGGGTTGGAAAGGGCCTTAAGATCACTTAGTTCCAATCCCCCTGCCATGGGCAGGGACACCTCACATGAAGCACAAGTCTGATGAGGAACAGCTGAGGGAGCTGGGGGTGTTTAGTCTGGAGAAGAGAAGGCTCTGGGGGGACCTTATCGCTCTCTACAGCTACCTGAAAGGAGGATGGAGCAAGGAGGTGACTGGTCTCCTGAGTAACAAGAGATAGGACAAGAGATAACAGCCTCAAGCTGCACTAGGAGAGGTTTAGATTGGATTTAGGAGCAATTTCTTCACCAAAAGGGTGCTCAGGCATTGGAACAGGCTGCCCAGGGAAGTGGTGGAATCATCCGCCCTGGAAGTGTTCAGAAACCGTGTAGATGAGCCCCTCAGTGATATGGCAGACATGGCAGTCTTGGGGTAATGGTTGGACTTGATGATCTTAAAGGACTTTTCCAACCTACTTGATTGCATGATTCTATGAAAATGGGAAAATGAGACTTACTGCTCTGTTTCCTTTGAACAAATGCTTCCACTAGTGGTGACTAACAGGCAGTTGCCCATTTGGTTGGTGGCTAGAAGCAGTAAACCAGCCAACACCTGCAGCTGTACAACCTTCTAGAACAGCCATCTATTCTGGCAGCCTTGGCTGAGGGACTCTTGAGTGTTTAACTAAGCTTCCAACAGCAAGCACAGAGGCATCAAATGGAAGGGCAAGTGTGTACCCATCAAACTTTGAACCATATTTAATAGCTTCTTACCAAATATGTAATTATATGTTTTTCCCTAAACACTGGAACTGTGTTTCAAAGCAGGCTACAAAGTTCACCTCTGCATCCAGAAGACTTGGCACAACTTAGCCCTGGACTTCCCAGCTAAGACTTGTTGGTCATTTCTTAACAGAATGGATCATGTCTTCCTAATGGCCGGAGGGGTTACATGGCATGAATCAGGAAAAGCACAGGATTGCAGCACAGGCCCGTTACATCCAATCCTTCCCTGCCCCACCCCAACCTTTATCCTTCCTATAAAACTACAGAGACCATGTGCTGTTTCTTTCAACTTGCTTCACTAACTGAATCTAATCTATCTGCTTTCCTTTGCTTGGAGGATTGGTATGTGAAGATGCTAATTAATCACCTGTACTGCTTTATCATCCTGAAAGCTTAGTGCCCATGGATCTGCAGGTACCGACTGGACTGCTCAGGGAAAAGACATCTAACGTACAATACACTTTTGTGACTAAGATATCAGGTCCTTGTAATGTAATCCTTAAAATGGCAATAATGAAGGTGAAAACCACTGAGTTACCTCTGAACATCCTCTCCACAGATAACATTGATCAAGGCCGCAGAACTTTATTCCAGGGAAGAGGGAAAACAGGGAATAAAACACTTTCCCATCCAGAAAGTCAATAAAACAAATCAACAGAGTCTTTAATAGCAATTTATTATAATTAAAAGTAACAAGTAGGTTTAAATCCTTTTTTTAAAAAAAATCTAGTATAACACACATGTCTCCTACAGTTCTATGAAACCTATGGCAAAATTGTATCCCCAAATCACACCATTCTGCCTCATCCTCACAGACACCAGTGGTGTGGGACACAAAACAGAGAGAGACTGCCCTACACAGCATTTGTCACAATGACAAGAATGACCATTAGGCCTAAAAATGCTACAAGTTATTCTGTAAGAGCTATTAAGTATAACTTTTCTCCTTTGCTCATATTGCTGGAAAAATCAAATAACTCACAGTTTTTGGTGAAGCCGTAAGAATATTTTAAGAACTGTATTTCCCCCTCTTCTTTGCTGCTAAAATTTTCTTTTCTTCTTTTCTCCTCCTTGAAGACACAGCTGCCCCATTCCAGGTAACAAATCTGCAGTGACGTTTGCAGTCACTCTCCACACAGCATGACTTATTTCCTTCACATCCTGAAGACAGTGCTCAGCTCTAGCACTTAACCTTTAACAGTACTGAGGAACAACCTGGCAGCACACTTTTCAGGAATACTACATGCTCATATATTAATCTCCAGCTTCGTGGGAGCTCTAGAGCTTAAGTTAAGCTCCAGCTAAGTACTCAAGATAGCTAACTTACAGCTAGCTCAGATCCATGTAAAGCAGCAGCAGCCAGATGCTGCAGGACAGATGCATCTTCATGTCACAGCTGTTCACAAAAGCCCTGAGCAAGTCATAATACTGTTCATCAGTGGCTTGGAGGACCAAAAAAAAACGAGTCTCCACAAGCAAGCACACATATTGCTGAAAAGGAAGGGTGTTCCTAATCTTGTCAAGCATTTAATGTGTTGAATTTAAGCTTCAGTGTTAGTCAATATTCAAAAGTAAGCAGAAGCTCATGAGTGAAACCTTTCTGGCTAGCAGAAATGAAGTGAAGGAAGGAACAGAGCACAGGTACACTACAAAAAAAAAAAAAAAGCAGAAGCCACTCAGATGCGGCTTGTACATGCTTTCAGGTACACAAGAAGGTTTGTTCTTCAGGAGCAGATCCCTTAGGCGGATATATCATAGAATCACAGAACAGTTAGAGCTGGAAAGGACATTAAGATCATCTAGTTTCAACCCCCCTGCCATGGGCAGGGACACCTCACACTAAACCATGTCACCCAAGGCTCTGTCCAACCCAGCCTTGAACTGCTAGGGATGGAGCATTCAAGACTTCGTTGGGCAACCCATTCCAGTGCTTCACCACCCTCACAGTAAAGAACTCCTCCTTATCTGCATGAACTTTAAGTAGCTTGTGGAATTGGGAAGCTCAGTGAAAGCAAATCAGTAAGCAGCTTCACATAGTTCTATATCCACTCTGAACTTGGAGAGTCATGGAAAAAACCATAAACACAATCATAGGATAAACATATGGAGGAGGTAATAGATCAACAAACTCTAGGAACAGACTCCAGTTGCTCTTCAACAGCAGTTCACACTCTTATCTAAGCAGACATACAAGTTAAACTCCAGGAGAAAATATGGTGTTAAATTTACTCAATTAAAACTTTTTTGGAGTTTGCTGTCAGCTGGGTATCTTGGGGAATAAAAACCAAAACCCAAACAATGCTTACAGCAAAACTGCAAAATCCTGTCATACCTAACATCCTAAACTATTATCTTGCTTTGTGAATGTACCTAACAGTTTATGAACATCCACACTTAATAATACTTTAATAACTTCTGAGCTGGCCACTAAACCATCCATACAGTAGCAATGCCAACACAAAAGGAAAAGCTCAACTAAGATGCTTAATAATAGATAGTTTGCCAAACCAAATAGCATTTGCTTCCAAAAAATGCCATTTTTTGTTTTGTTCTCCTCCTCCCTCCCTTGTTTCACTTAGTGTTTCCCCTTTTGCCCATCTCTAACAACCAGCCACCATGGGCAAACACAGAAGTCGTGAAAAGGTCCCTTTCATTGTAAGTCTCATCCCATGTATGTAAACACACAAAGAATCACCTGTCTAATCACTGTCTTTCAAGTACTCAGGAAGTTCAAATGGCTATTATTATTCCTCTAACTAAAAAGTACATAGACCTATGATATCTTTGATTTTTCTACTGGTATTAATGTCTTAAAATGGAAATACTTTCAAATTACTTCTGTAGCTATGATAGCCTATATTCAAATTCATCAGGGAAAATAAAGATCAACTTTAAGGATAATTAATAACCTGGTATTTTAAAAAATATTTCTAGTATTTTTTTGTGGTCCCTTATCACAGACCATTTTCAAGGTAATTCAGAACCCACTCTACCCACATCCAAATCAACCAACTAACCAACCAAACAAGGAAACCCCAACTGAAAACCAATCACCCCAATATCTAAGTTGTTTAATACTTGTATTGCAGAAAGTACATTCAGGTAAAGTTCTGCAGTGTAAACATACAGTTCTGACTTCTTTTCTTCAACCACTATTTAAAATTTGAGAGTTCTTTCTATTGGCTAAATACTCAAATGCAACTACAGGAATGCAAACACTCACTTCAGATACACTGAACTGACCCAGAGCAGCATAAACCCCCTGCTTTCAAGATACGTACCTACCACATAAAGAAGCCTGAAGAATAAAATCATGCTCCCACTTAAAAACAGCACTAACCAGTGCATAATATTGGTTACTCTATCTAGATCAAATACTGTGTGTATTCCCAAATGTAAAAATAAAATTGCACAAATTGCATGCAACTGTACATAGTGCAGTTCAAGCAATACTGAGGTGTTCTCCTTCTTTTTGTGAAGCATGTGGGCAATAGCAAACTGCAGGGTGGTAATTGTAATGCAGTCTTTGGGTTTCTTCTTCCACAGAGACACACAAAGCTATTGTTATTTTAAAAGACTCTAGCCCACAACAGGGAGACTTTAAAAAAATCTAGCTGTGACAACTGTACTGTGAAGAATTGCTGGATTTCCTTATATATGTCCAGATTACCCAAATGGACTTTTCATTAGAAGTCCTTTACTAGAACTCCTTTTTCATAAACCACACACCAAAAAAAGGTGCTTTCTGTTTTGATTACATACAATTGTTCATCAGGTGAAAGAAGAGGAAGGTAGCTTATTATATCATAAAACTAACCTCATCTTATGAAGCGTATGTAGTATACATAATTAAAGGGTCCAGTTAAGCATCACCACATACTAACCCTTCATATTTGTATAAGATGACCAGCTATAAAGTTGTAACTACTGAAACTGTACACAGGTGCCTTGGTAAACCATACTGATATTACATCCCACAACTGCCTCTGCTTTGGGGTAATTTTTGTCCATTTCATCTATTCAGCCGCTGTGTTACCACTTCCCGGTACATGATAGAGATATATATCAGGAGAAGAAAAATTACAAAGAAATCATCCAAGAAGCCCAGAATTCCAAAGAGAGCTTCAGGAAGAAAATCCAGGGGTGAAGCCAGGTAAAGCAAGGCTCCAAGCAAGCAGAGGAATATTCTGATGCGAAACATCCAGAAGAGGCCTCCAACGGAAAACATCTCCCTGAAAGCATGCCGCAATAAGGTGGGCAGATCCATAATTCTTTCCATAATCTATAAGAGAGAAACCAAAAATTAGTATTTTGCTTTAGCAACAGATCCATGCTATATTTGTCTTCAGTTAGTCTGAAGTTTCTATTACTACATTACAGCTTTCGAATCTGTTAGTTTGTAAGAAAACCAAACAGTAAGACAGGACTTCCTGGATTTAGTTTTGCTGGGAAAAAAGTCAGATTTAGAATATATATGTTTTCAAGAAACAGTGAAATTGTGTCATTCTATACCATAAACCATACATTTAACTCACTGCAAAATACACTGGCATCTATAAAAAAGGAAAAGCAGTGACTACTAGAGTAAATCAAATGACTGAGAAAGTGAGAACAGGTTAACTGTAGTGAAATATTGATTAGAATGGAAGACAATTAGGGATTGCAAGAAAAAAGTAACAAGTGAAGTACAATAGATTGCAGTTCTTTAGAAACTCACTCCCCCATCCCTGCCTTGTAACCAGTGACTCACATAACTTTCCAAAAGATGGATCAGCCTTCAAAGTAAATTAAAGAACCTTTAAATGAATCTATTCCTGCCTCCTTTCCATTTTACTACTATGATTCTGTATCTGACTACTCAGTAGAAAATATTCACATTTTTGTTGTGCATCTTTTTTTTTTATACTGGTTCCTTTGCCTACTCTACAGAGTTTCTACACAGAGCCATGAATTAAAAAGAGTTATTGGCAAGGCTGCAAAAATTCTCAAGAAAGAAATTTTGCATGTGGTTAAGGCAACACACCCTGTATAAATCAAAGACAATTTATCTAGTCTGATAAGGGTTTTAATGCAGACTTCTGGCATGACCTCAGACAGGTCACTGGGGACTAGACACAGAGCCCTCAGAAAGGTCTAATGGAGCCTGAAAGGTAGATTCAAACTATTCTGTATTAAAAGTATAACTGTTTTGTGGTTTAGAATGTGAAAAAAAAAAAAAATATTCCATCTTGCACCTCTTATGTCTCTTTGGATTACAGATTTTTCTTGCTAATGTTTTCTTACTATATCCAAATTCAATGAACAGACGTAGAGAAGTGGGAAAGTTACTAGTATGCAAGTGCATGCATTTTACCTTGTGGATAAGAACATGCACATAGAAGACAGGCTCACCAGACTGATTTTGTAAAGTTCACAGAACTTCAACCATTTCGCTTAGCTATTTAGAAAAAAAAAGAACTCCAGATTCTTCTAATTGATGTAAAGAGATCAATCAAGTGAATATTCTTCCTTATACGCTATGTATTTCAATAAGCATTTTTACTGACTAATCTTTTTAAAGTTGTAATTAAAAAAGATCTTAACACATAAATTGGGAACTCAAAGCTTACTAGAAGTTCTCACTTGCAACAAAAATGCAAGTTTCCATACTTTTCACATGGGTCATGGATTTGCCTTAATTATATAAATATGAATTTCCATAGTCCCTAAGCATCATGAAGGGAAAATTCATAATGGGGCGTGGGAAGGGTTGGGGTAAAGGGAAAAAACCCCACAAAAAATACTGTTAAACTTCCCTAAAATCAGTGACTTCCACCCAAATCTTCCCCAAACTTACAGATCTGGGCTGTCCTGAGAACCTCCGATTGTAATCATTAACATCTTGAAATACTTGGGCTGCATCCTGCTGATCTTCACTGAACAGTGGTAAAAACAATGTTACCTAGGCACAGCAGGGAGATTTTGTTACACGTGCAACTGTCTTTTACATGCAGACATTGTAAACTACCAATGAAAATCACGAACTTCAGTTAACTACACAGTTGTTTAGTTGAATATTTAGTAACAAAATAAAATGTAAAATGACTAACATGGATACTGCTGCTAAGTTTTAACAAATTAATTGCTTACAACTCTCTACAGAATATTATTTTTTTAAAAAAGATTGTTAATAACAAGCATAAGAACCCTCTTTCTAAGACGGGATTACGGGAAATTTTTCTAAAACCTAAGTTTTTTATGTTTCAGAAGTGGGACAGATGATCTGGATAAAAAAAGTTAATTTGCCAAATTAATCTAGTTTTGTGTCTTAAACTGAAAACCAAATAAAGAAACTAATGGCACCATTCTTCTTCCATCTTTAGAATGGCCTTGCATTTCAGGACACAAGCAGCAAACCTCATACTTTTCCACATGGGCATTCAAACCAAGACCAAGGAGAGTAATAATTAATAATAAACAGGAAAAGATTTTAACCGTCAGCTCTTTCATAAGCACAGAGAATTCTTCTTGAGCTAATTTTCATGTAAACATAGAAAAACACGTACGGTCATATTCATGTGTATCTTATGTTACCTTTCTGTATAGGAGTTTCTGAAAACGCATTTAGAAGCAATGTTCAGGTATCAAACGCAGATTATCAGAGGAAACAGTTCAAATTATTACAATCTTCAAAAACACCTGGCCACTAAACATTTATCTTGTATCTGTGCAGCAGTCACATTTAGCAAATGACACCATGGGCCCATCTACGTTCAACTCCTAGCCCTGCCTTCTGCCTTCAACAAACCTTCTGTATGACTCACGCTGTTCATGCGTACGTACTTCTGTCCCCTATTTATAAATCAGACCTGACTTCTCCTATGTTAGAGAATGAGAATGAATGCATAACTGTGTCAGCAGCACCATCCAATTTACCTGTTATTCAGAGGAACGTAGAAGAATATCTATATATGGACACAAGCACACAGACATGCAAATCACTTATTTTCCCCTTTTCCATCTTCATCATCTTTATTTTTTGTGCCCCTCACCTCACTTGCTAAATTCTAAACTCACTCATTCATCCTGCAGTCATACCTATCTTTCTTTTCTCTGCGTTCTTACAGTCATTTGTCCTGCTAATACACACAATTAAAGTAGCTTATAATGTATGGGCAAGGGCATCAAGCATGTTATATAATTCATCAGAAGGTACCAGCTCTGTAGTTGTGCAGTTAAAATAAAGATGTACTTTATTTTATATATATATAGTGTATATTTTGTTAAAATATACATTATAAAACTCAGAGATCCTATGTGTTAATGAGTTGCAGGGACATATTTCAAACTGACAATGTAAGTAAGTTGTGTAGGAAGTTAATGCTTGCTCTACAAAGCCCATATTAATAATACATTCAAACTAAAATAGGGACAAAATAAGAAATTAACATTGTTTTTTTTTGCTGGGGAGAGAAGGAAGGGAGAGGGTACTTCTGAGAAACCAGTTAGTATACTGCCTATTGCCAGTCTTCCACAACAGCCAGGTCTTTAAGTTGCAAGTTCTGGTAATGAAGTTATGTAACATCCAAAACAGAAAGCATGGAAAAATCAGAGTTAAGATCTTATGATTTTATATTTTCATATACTCCTTTACAGAAAAATGGCTGAGTTATCAGTGCTGCTCACTTAAATTTGAGTTGCAGGAACAATCTGCATTTTTTAAAGCCGTTTGGCAAAGCAAAGTGTTATACAAACAAAATAATGTCCACCATCTATGTCTCACATATCCATATTCTTTCAGCTTCTCGGCCTTCTGTCAGTCTCCCTACTGCAGTTCACATGTAAGTGCTTTTTAGGTAAGCTACACTAGATAGCTAAACTATCAGGCCCATGATTACTTAAAATATTACCGTTTGTCTGCAGATTGGGCAACGGATGGCACCAAGCCATGAGCCATACCTCCAGTAGGCAATAATGCAGGAACCTGATGAAGGTAAGTTACAGACATTTAAACTTCTGAGTTGAAACACGCACTGCATGAAATAGCATGCTACACACCAAGGGAAAAAACAGAAGTGTATACGCAGTTAGGTTAAACCTATCTTTGCTGGTATAATTTTGTATATAGCATTCGCTGAAGATACCAACAACTGATATGTTCAAATTGAGGGCTGTTAAGTGCAGAAAAATTCTGAATAGGTTCAATTGTATCATTAAAGTATCATTAACTGAAAAGACAGAAGACTTCTTAATCATTAACTGAAGAAGCAAATAATTAAAAATTTTACCAGTTTAAAATTTAGAAGTCACAAAAATATGAAGAGATATAAAATTTATCATAAAAAACTGGCTTTATTAATGGATGAAGGAATATATAAAAATCTGAATACTTCGTTTTCCAAATTTGTAAATTCTTTTGCTTAAATGACTAGGCATGGTATGCATTATATACTCCATAAAACCAGATGAACGCAGTTGAAGAATCCTCCTGGGAACACAAAGAAGAGGCAGCAGCTACACAGGGCATTTCTATATAAATTTGAATCACAGGCCCCAAAGAAAGAGGCAAACACTTCAAGCATTGTGAACTTAACCTTAATTCTTCAGGGCTTCCAAGAAAATAACCCCAACACTCTGAGAAAAAGATAACACCAGGCAGAATTTTTTACTCTTTCTAAACTGCTTCTTTTAAATGGTGCATTTCCAAGTGTTTTTCAGCGTCTCCATTTTTTTACTAACTGGAAACAAATTACACTCTCTACCCTTGACATCTTTAAATTAACTGTGGACTTAATCCTGATAGCACAGAAAAACAGCACATTCTCAATCTGACTTGTTTATTCACAAATATTTTCTCAGCAATTGATGTAAAAATTATTTCTAATGCACATTAGAAGATAAGCAGCTAAAATCAAACAGAACTTTGCATTAAGGTGACTATACTAGCGCTAAAAGTTTGTGTTTCTGTTCTGGTTTTATCTTTGCAGCTTAGTTTTTTTTAATTTTGTTTTTCTTGCTTACCACAGAAAAGATGTCCACAGTTTGTTTCTATAGGAAATGTAGCCTGCTGCAAACAGACTGGACAGGACATATCTGTATAGAAGCGAAGTCTATCATCGGCAGAAGCATCCTGCTGGAACACAACAGAAATGCAGTGTTAGAGATACCATTTTTATACATGTCTACGGAGTTAAAAAAAAATAAATAATCTAGTGTTCATTCACTAGAAGTCAAACAATCAAATGTAAAACTATGTGAAATGAAAGAGAAACATATCTAAATCAAAAAAATCAAACATAATTAAAAGCAAAAACTGATACACTAGGCCAGTTCTTCTTGTGACAAGCCCATTATTTTCCCTTCATCTGTTCTATAAGTGTGTCCTTCAATCCAGTTAAAGACCACAGGGAAAGAACCACCTTGGTCCTTCATATTGTTAGGTTAGACATGCTGACACATGAATAACAACTCAGACTGAGACTTGTACTTCATTTCCCTAAGTAGTTCTGTCCAGAGCCAGGTAACTAAACTGTATTGCTGCCAGTTGCAATATTCAGTGTTCCCAAGCTCAAGGACAGACATCAGCTTGTGTATGTCAATGCCATGAAATATATTTTCTCCCAATTTTCTCATATTTATCTTCCACATAAATAGGCACTGTAGTTAAAAATCTGTCATTATTTCAAGAAGTAATATGACGAAAGACTCTCCTCAATACTCTCCAAAAATATGGCTTGTCACTCTCAGGCTGGCACTTGGCAAGTTCCAGTAACCTGGCCTAGACCCACCCATCCTCTCCTCTATATGTCAGAATTGGATGCAGTTATAGAAGGGTTGAGGTTTGAAGGATCTTTAAAAAACATGTAGTCCAACTTCTCTGCCATGGGCAGGGACATGTCACTACCTTAGGCTCTTCAAAGTCCCATCCAATCTGACTTTCAGTTCAAAAACACTGCTCCTTGTCTTGTCAGTAAAGGCTTTGGTAAAAGTTTCTCTCTGTCTTTGTTCACTGGCTCTTACTGCTGTGCCACTGTTCTGCTACACATAGGTTATCAGCGTAAACATCTAACCCCTGTACTGTGGCAGCAAGCTGTCTTCCAGATTTCCTTTCCTTTACCACTAAGGCCCCAGAACATTGAGGAATCGCACAACATAATCTAACATACTCCACCTTGTGGCAAAAAGTTGTCTGCAAAAAGAGCCAGCCGAATATTTAATTTTAATTACTTATTCATTTAAAAAGCCTATGTTATTTCATTACTTGATAAAGTTCAAAGATGCATCTGTATAGTAAGTAAGCTTCCACAACTTTCAAGACCAGCTTCTTCCAGAACCTCAGAGGAGTCTACACTACCCAAAATGAGATAGTTAAATGAAGCCAACATTTGGCACAACACCTGCTCTGTTTGAAGCTGCTGACGAAGAGCTCGCACTAGCTCTTGATTTTCTGGGTGTATGTTCTGATGTTCATTTCTGTGAAAGGAAATACAAGCAATAAGAAAAACTGAACACTGTGGCCCAACACTGAAAAACAACTGATTGGAAAAAAAAAAAAAAAGGAACTTGAACAAAGGGTAAAAATCATTCCTTCCTGCTATAAAGGATTGTAAAGGAAGTACACAAATAATTAACGAAACAGGACATGTATTCCAGATCCTAAAGTTACTCTGGACATTTAAAGCTGTACAGCAGCACGACTTTTCAGAGAGACTCCATAATCAATCATTAAATCATGTTTAAACTAGATTTTTATTTGAAACAAAATCAAGCTATTAACACGCAAAAAAAATAATGTTGCTTGAAAGTTATATATTTATTATGCAGAAATATTTTCTGTCTCCATTGCTAAATTTTGAATTGTTGGTCTACTCATAAATTTCTTCAGTTTTTCAGTTGTTCCCTAAGTTACAATATTGAAAAAACCTAATTATTTCATCTGCTACATGAAAGATAAAGACATAACGTTTACATAAGAAGGGGTAGGCAAACTCTTAGATTTAGAATGTTGAATTTATGTAACTATCAGCAGACTGGATATAAAAAGAAATCACTCCTTTTAAATCAGTCTTTAAAAAGACTCTATAGGTTCTGAGACTCTAACATGAAGAAAACTTCAGGTTAGAGGTGCCAAGGGGAATCACAGGAAGCAACTCACTGAAGAAAGAAGGCTGGATACAATATAAGTTTGAAATTCAAAAGCATAATGGGAACAGAATTAGAATTTAAAATTATGGTAACAAAATTAAGAGGTGTTGAGTTATAATAAATATGAGTCAATAGCATCATATTCAAAACTGTGAGACCTTTTTATGCTTTATTTATTCATATGTATTTCAAAGGTGATACATTCTCCTCAGCACTGTTGAGGTCTCAGCTGGATACTGTTTTCCATTTTGGGCTAATTGCATAAAAACATGTAGCAAAGTTGGAGGAAGTTCAGAAGAGAATAAAAGCTACTGCCCACATTTTTTAAACATTTCAGAAAGAGTGAAGAAATGTCACTTCATATAAAGACTGCTCATGGAGAAAAAAAGAGAGAGGATAAGGCTTTCATTCTATAAATATGAGCAATTATTTCTCAGAGTTATCTAAGGTTGGTGGAAAAACATTTCTAACCGCGAAGTGTACAAAATCATAAAAGGTTACCTCAGGGTATTGTGATCTATCTTTGACTGAAAGTTAAATCAAAAATTAGGTTGCACTGTTTCGAGGGATGATCTAGAAAAGTTGATCCTTTGTCAGAGCTGAGGGCTGGACTGGATGAATTTTTAGGATCTTTTCTGGTTGCAGTTCTATTTACATAATTTCCTCCACAGCTCTAGCAGCTTCTGCAATATTTTCCTTCATTTGATGTGGGCAGTCATAATACTGCCTTACTGCTATCTTTTACATTTGGTGTCCTTCATTCTTTCTTCAGAGGAACAAACAAACCCGGTATTTCTAATGCTAATAATTACATACTTATCTGTAAAGATAACACCACTAATGTGGGTGACATATATGGAAGTTACATGATGGGAATCTTACATTAAAACCCTTCCAGCTCATCTTGTGTCTCCATGAGTCAGACTTTGTGCATGCTGTCTGTCATTCATGTTATATGTATGAAAGTATTTTCCTGTTCAGATGCTACAAATTAGCATATTTTTCACCTTCAGTTTGCCAGGACTTTGATATATATTGAAAATTCAATTAAAATCACACACAAATAGTAAGTGTGAATTATAGGCCAGTTTATTCTGATTCCTTCACAAACAACTTACTGCAAATTTTCTGCTAAAGTGTTCATTTTATACTACGTTGAATACATGAGAAAATTTGTAGAGCTGTAGAGGTACAGTATGTGCAACATCTGTCACTTATGTGCAAGATGCTGAGGTAGTGAACACTGCGGAGTGTCCAGGAAGGGACAGCACAGGTCAAGACATATCAAATTCATAACTTCTGTTATTCTATTAGTATGAGAAAATAAATCAAATAAATTCAAACCAGTATGGTTTTATGTAATTAAAGGCATTACCAATGCCAGAAAGAAATAAAGTTAGATGGGGAGTCTTTTAGTTTCCCCATTTTCAAGTGTTAGCACGTAAAAGGACGTAATCTTTCCATGATGTGGAAAAATGTAGTATGTATCACAAAGAGCCCCACCAATCTATAATAACCAGGAGGAAGGCTGCCTGAATGATCAGTGTGCAGCTTCACACAGGGAAAGTGAGGGACAGTACTCATGGAGACTGGTGTATTACTGTGCAGTGACGGCCATTGTTAATTTCCAAGGATTAAGATCTCAATTTTGCTGAAAGTACCAATTTAATCTTATAATGAAACCACTTGATGGGATAGAAATTAAGAGAAAAAGTTTTAAACCTGCAGATACATAAACATGGGTTGGGTAAGTCATCTGGGACAAGTAAGGAATCTCCGATACAAAGCACTGGAGGGTCAAGCTCCCTTTAATTTGTTTGCTAAATTAAATTTTCACAGTCTCATGTGACAACCTACCCGCAAGTTTAAAAGATGATGGAAAAAGCTAGCTGCATTTTATGGAAATTTATAAGTCAAAGACATACAGGCTATGCAGAAGTATCTTACAGTGACTGAACTAAACATCTACAACTTGGTATATATGTTAATTACTCTTAATAAGTTCCTCCACCAAAAGCAGAGAGACCTTCAGTTCAGCCCCTGATGTGATGCTTCACTGAGATCTCACTGCTGGAAACAAGTACGGTAGCCATATCCTTTAACAGTTCTTTCCACATTTCACATCTGTCCCCTAAAATCCACTGCAACCTACACTCCTTGCTGCCTACTTGAAGTTTTCATTCAGTTCCTACAACCTTCTTCACTACCCTAAGCCTTCTTTCACGTATTTTTATCCAGGACCTGTTCCTACCCAACTTAAGTATTTCAGATGTCACATACTGAAGTATGGGCTGGCAAAGAGATCGGGGTAATGGACGCAGTGTAAGGAATACACAGATCACTGTATTGCCTAGTATAACTAGAGAAGAAAAAGGAAACACAAGTTACAAATGTTAAAAGTATCAGTATCAGGGGTAAAAAAATTGTAAGAGCAGAGCAAAAAAAAAAAAAGGAACTCTAAAGGAACTCTTGAAGCCATCTGAATAACTGAAACAGCAAGAAAAGCAAGGTGAAGTGCATATGCTTCTCTTAGATTTCTTTGATATCTCCTGATCCTGAACAGCAGCACAGACCTGCAGTCCAACCAAGCATTCACACTCTGATTTGTTCTGTAGCTTGCTCCCAAATACTTCCTACTCGGCAAAGACTTATTTTCCCAAAACGCATAAGCTAAGGAATTTGTCAAGTTGAAAGGAAAATCTCTGAAATGAAAACCAGCTTTTATTACTTGTTCATTACAGTTACTGAATTTCAACCTTAATATTTTGCTTTATGGAAAGCATATTATAGCCCACTGTTTTCCAACATATTATTTTATAAAACGAATCAGACACTTTATTCATGTTTGGGGTTTTGCTGGGGTCTTTTCTATGGAAGAAGGCTGCAACTAGAACATATGCTGGTGGATTATATCCAGTCTTAATTGTGGAGTGACTACTGACAAATCTGTCCATTGTAACCAAACATGACAGACACACCAGCCATACAAACTGTAAATTCAGCCATCTTCAGTCTTAAGGAATGATGAAATTATTCAGTTTGATCATCTGAAGAGTTAAACTTCACTTCTAAGAAATGCATCATTTCATTCTACCTGAATTAAATAATGAAAATCTGCCAAGCAATCAAACAGAGTAAGTGATCAATCATTTTGTTAATATCAAAAATCACAGTTGTTTTATATACTAACATAAAAAAATTGTTGAGAAAGTTAGAATTTTACAAACACAGATATGTTGATTCCTGTCAATATAATCTCACCTTAAAAGCGTATACACCAGAGCAGCAATGAAAGTGAAACTGAGCACAATTGCCACCAGTACCTGGTCACTTATTCCTTCTATAACTGAATCATTATCAAGCTTCAAACTCTGAACTTCTGCTTGGTGACTGGCCATCACAGCTCTAAAATGTAAAAAGAAATATATACATGTACATATATATACACATTAAAATACACATATGCTCACGTGCATTTTAAACAGTTTCAAATAATATGCATAAACATCTGTTCATAGCAATAATAAATTCCTAAAGCAACAGAATAGTCACTGGGGAAAAAAATGGTAAAAGAAGAGGGAACAGACACATTTTTACCAAACACTGAGCTTGCTGCAGAGGGCTGCAAAGCATTTGTCTAGCCCAGTATCACACAAGTCTTAAATGACTGTGCTGTGATCTAAAGACATTTTTTTTAAACCTCAGTCAGATTCTTTACCTGGGAATCTTTACCAGATAACTTCCCCAGGAATAGGTTACTGCTGAATAAGACATATTCTAAGAACAGCTCATTTTAAAAAAGCATAACAACTCTGCACTATCAAGGATTTTAGCTATTATACAACACATGATTTCTGCTAAACTGAGACAATGTAGAAACCTAATTTGCACCATTTCTGTGAAGAAAAAAGCAAGGACATTTGGAGGTTAGCTGTTTTATAGAGTGTTAAGCACCCATTTAGATACAGAGGAATGATCTGATGCACTATTTTATGTGTCCTTGCTATGCGTAATCATTCTACAGCTGGAAACATGAGAAAAACTGGTCAGAGTCTTATCAGGCCTCCCTAATTAGACTAGTTTGGTTTATATTCATTTCACATATGCAAAAATCAGAATGCTTTGTCAATGCTAAGAGCTATTAATCTCCAGCATTAACCTACAGCTGGAGACAAGCAAAATAAAACAGTTTCCAACACTGCTAAATCACTCCTGTTGCAATCAGGAAGTGAAATGAACTACAACTGTGAATATTACCAATCCAGGAGAACGACACAACTCTGGCAAATGACCAAAAAGTCATATCTAAACTGTGTCCATACACAATCAAAGTACTTTTCATACAGAGCTGACATAAAATCTCAGCATCAATTTATGAGGTCAGGTAAGACAGGTTATCACTTACTTTACACATCCTAGTCCAGTGTGTGTGCGTAAGCTTGCAAGCTTTCATCAGTGTTTCTCTCTGCTTCACAGCTCACGTGTAATTTTTTAATTTGAATGTTGCTGTCTAGCAAATATCACCAGACACTGTGGCCTTAAATTAACTGCAAAACTGAAATGGAATACAGGTCATCAGGATTTTAGTGGATACCTGTAATAACTACCCTGGCAAGATTTCAATATGCTAGTCTACTGCTAACATAGAAGTGTCATCTTTTTATCATCTTTTCCATATAATAGTTATTCTCACTCTCCAGATCTTTTCTTGTATGAGCTGTGGAGCTTTTTCCAAACTTCCTCACATTGTGGGAGCTGCCCTCTAAAGCAGCAATGCAAGAGAAGATGGTATATTTTAACACTGTTGTAAAAAAGGATAAATGGCATAATTAAGTACCATAAGAGCAGAGAAAACTCATGGAGAACAAAGGGTAGATTCCTTTAATTGTTGTTGTACTTTGGGCCTTCCATGGTGAAAATAAAAATGAAAAGATGAAGCATATGTGAAGTGAAACAAACTAAGTTATCTTAAGTGTCCCCATCTGAACTGATATTACTACTTCTGTAACTATAGTCACAATTTTTGCTAATTACATCTTTCCATAAGCAACTGTGTCACAGTTTAACTACTGTAATGTCAATTAGTATTTAGAGAGAGTAAATTCTCTCAAAGGTGAAATACCAGTGTACCCTGTTTAAAGTAGGTCAAAATTGACACAGGTTTCATAGACACTCACATGTATATGTTCGTATATAATGAGAAAAAGATCAGATCTTTGTGGAAAGGTCTTACACAGGAACTAGAGCTTATGCCAGAAGTTGTAGCATTTGTCTAGGCAGCTAGTTATGAAATTATATTGCTGTAGTTAAATCCATGAGTCCTCCATGTGGAGGTTTTCTGAGCAGCAGTTCCTTCATACTGAGGATCTGGACTGGTAGGTGTGCTCAACATTCCCAACCCATATACTTAATTTCTTTGCATATCCAATACCAAAGATGCATCTCCTTTTTATAATATGTCATTCTGACATTCTCAGTTTCCACAACTGTATCTCAGGCAGTGTGCTTGTACCTTCAACTTCTACATTTTCTCTCCTTAAGTACCATCATCAGCCCACTAATTTCTGCTGTGTTACACTGCCATTTCTGGGTTCATCACTCAGAACAAAACAAGAAGAAAATGGCAAGGCACTGGTATGTGATGATTCCTCCACTGTCTTGCATCAGCTGTGTTTGAACAGACCAACAAGCTAATAACAACTATATCCCATTAAGTACTATGCAGGTTTTGGGGGGGTTTTGGTTTGTTGGTTTGGTTGTTTTTTTTTTTTTTTGTAGTTGTTGTTTTTGGGTGTTGTGGTTTTTTTTTTTCCCAGAAATACACACTGTGGTAGAGACATATAGATAATTTAACCGCATGTTTGGAAGACAAGTGTATCTCTGTGTTCACTGACACCTGAAAGGCCACCTGTGTCACTGCTTGTTTGGGGTACTCTGAAGCCAACACATGAGTTGTCAGTATCACACAAAGAAAACTCAATTTCCTTCAACAGCCTTCAAGACATCCACTCTCTTTCACTCTCTGCAAGTTCCTTGCAACAACACGCTTAATCCTTATCCACCCACCATCAACAGCACTCACTACATCTGCTCACGCACTCTTCTTGAAATAGCATACTATGGCGCCAAGCTTAGCAGCAGAATAAGAAATGCACAGATGATCACCTTCTCTTCCTTCCTGCACATAACCCCTGTTATTTGTATTTACTTCGCACATCGACTTACCACATAGGACTTTTTCAATGACAATTTTCACACAAACGTAGTGTCCAGAAGAAATTCATGCAGTCTTTCTGGTTATATAAAATGGCACTCCTCAAACACTTTGACTTCTCTTAGGTATCAATATTGCCGAGGTGTGTATAGAGGGGGGAGTGGAAGTCCTTGGGACTTCCCTGAAGCTGGGAGTCTGGCTCAGTCCCTCTCCCAGCTGCTTCTATTACTAAGTTCTATAGAAGACAGGCTACCAATGCTTAAGGCTCACAAGTTTTAACTTACTTGCTGCTTATGGACAGCCAACAAATACTAAGCATATTCCCCTTATTACCTCTAGCACTTTTTTTCTGAATCAGACCATTGCGCAGGAGGGCTGACATGAATGGTGTAGCCTAGGAACTACAAACAGAAGGGTTTCACTTCAAAAGATCAATACATACTTTTTCAGAAGTCATTCAAGCCTCAGTAGACGCAGCTGCAATCTCCTCTCACTCTTGTCTCTGGGTCAGCATGTGGAAAAAGCAATAGCTACAAAAGCACTGCTGAAATACACTATTTGATGATTGTCTGGCTGAAGGAGGAAGTAATTTTCTGATTTCAAGTCTGTTTTGAACATTTTCAAAAAAAATATCTAGAACTGCAAGCTTGGACTTCATATTTCTTCAGGTGCAACCACAACAGCCCATGAACACATCTGCAGTTGTTTGAATAGACCAGATAACAGTTCTAAAACAGCTGCTAAGGAATCTTGCTTCCCAATGCATGTGTTTAGCAGGGTGCCCTTTCACCTAGTACAATTAAAAAGCGAGGTACAGTAGACTTAATTCTTAAAGATTATAGCGAAGACCTTTCGGTCTTCAGAGACAACCAGTACTGACAAGGATTAAGTATATGTTAGAAAAGACTTCTAGAACCAGACTTTATCATAGACATCTCATCTCTCCTAACATAATAACCAGTAATAATTTGATGTGGTATGTATTAAATTCAACTTTTTTATGTTGATCCATTACATTTGTCTGGTTATGCAAAAATAAGAGCATTTCATCAAATTTTTCACCATAGAATCCTTTTCAGATCAGAATTCTATACACAGGCTTTTCAGACATTAAATAATTTTAAAGTGTTTTTTTTTTCTCTGTAGATTTATACTACTTTTGTTTCTCTATACAATTGCAAAGAAGGTTTTTTTTAATGATGCCTATTTTTTTATACAAGAAATGAATTCTTGCCTACACTAGCTCTCAGAAAAGTACCAAATTAATAGAATGATTTCAAGGAAAAAAAGGCAGTAAGTAAAAATAGAAAGGAAATTTAATAATAGAAATAAATTAAAAAATCTTAATTTTTTAGAATTCATTTTTGGTTATACTCAAGATTTTTTTCTCTTTTTAGCCATTTAACAGCGATAGGTTTCTTAAATGAAAGCATAACCCCATCCTGTGCTACAGTTAGAGGATGAAAACCAAACCACATCTAACAATACTCACATGAAAAGTGCAACTTTTACAATCACCCTCTGCATGTTAAAAGTATTGGTTACAAAGTTTAAAAATCCAACAGAAATGTTGGGCCTTTCTCCTACATTAAAAGAAACAACAAAAGAGCTCCAAATTTAGCTTCCAGCTTCATTTCATCACATCTTCAAACTACTGGTACTTTCTTGAAGCAAACCAATGCAACTGCAAAGCGACGTGAAAAAGGACAAGTAGGTACTCCTCCATTCCACTTGGGCTGGCTAAGCTACAGCTGGACTTTGCAGCACAGTACTTACACTGGGATCAGGTTTATCTGCATTAGGATTCTTGATAGCTACAGAATGTAAACAACCTCAGACTGAATTGTTCACAGAACACTTGAAACATTCCTCCCTCTATGACTAACTATGAACAATGTATGCAGGATTATGAAAAAAAAGAACTGAGCAATAATGCATTTAGAATGTCTTTTATTTTTGGAAAGTCATACAGATTACATTGAAATGTGAGGGCATGAGGACATACACTAGTGTGGATGTATTATTTCTTCATTTTTTCAGCTTTGAAAAGCATTATGAAGACTTTCAATGTTCAACATAAAGCACAGCTAGAATAATACCTCATGTTTTTTGTGAAATAAAGAAATGGAAAACAATTAGCGTTTGCCATGATATATTAAACACATGTTGGCAGCTATCCAGAATCAGAACATCCCCTTCAGTATTCTGAAAAATTTAAACTTTTCCAATTTTATCACGGAATCACCGCATGCTAATAGACTCTCAAAAGCACAGAGATTTTAGGACCCACTATCAAAGGAATATACAAGCACAGAGAAAGAGAAGCAGCTCTCCTCACGCCTGAGCAGTAAACAATGAAATAATACACAGGCAATACTGCTGAGAGATACAAATTAATCACTAAGAGTAACATTTTATTGACTTTGACAGCATGGTAAAATTTGTTCAACATCTGAAAGATACGTTGGATAACAACATATCCTTTCAGGGATGGGCTGGGAGCGAACTGGATGAGAACAACGTTTGCATTTTTGTGGAGTAGTTTTGTTTTGTTTTATTTTGTTTAACTTAATTTTTATTTTGTGTATTTTCTTCTTGTTGCAGTACTGGCAACCAACCTCAGCTCTTGAAAAATACATAAAATTAAGTCAGTGGTGGTGGACTGGGAGCAAGTGAGAAGCTGTAATTCCTTTTGCCAGTTGTCTTTCACTAGCAGAAGCATTAACTCCTGTTAAATATGATGCTTAATTTGTAGAGATCATGTGTTTTCCATGAGAAGCTAATTCCTCTCCAACTAGTAAAATACTGTGAGTCACATTTTTTTTATGATGAAAAAAGTTTTAACTCCTCAAAATTCCCTTCCATGGCAAAAGGAATAACAAAATTTGACTTCAAGAAAACAATTGTAACAACAGGTTTCTAATAATATTACCTGTTTTAGATAACAGTAATCCAGTTTTAAGAATTTAAACATACTAAAATGGAGCATATCTATTCCGTCACCCACCCTCTGCATGGATATTAGCTTACACTGAAATACCTAAAGCATAGAAAATTTAGTGATTTTTCTTTCATTTAAGAGAAAAACAGACAAAAATTTCCAAAATAAAGACGAATTTTTATATATGGAGCAATAATTGAGACCTCTCTCATCAGAATTTATCCAATTACTTCATGGTAGCAGCAGCTTGGGGCCACTGTCAGTGGTTGTGAATGGGACTTTGCAAATGTCCAGCATATGGACATTTACACAAAATGGGACATTTGCAAATCCAGGAAACTGAATCCTACAGTTGTCTCAGCTCTCACTCATGAGAAGCTCAAAGGTATGTCTAGACTGCATCCAGAAAGAGTTAGCAACATCAGGTATTAAGCACACATGATAAGCAGTAAACATCTAATTAGCCTAAATCAGCTACATCATGAGCTGATACATTTTATCCAGGTACTCCAGTGTACTAAAGGTGGATTTTGAAAAAGGGCTGCAGACACATCACGTAATAAAACAGAAATAAGGAAAATGACAGATAGTGTACTCAAAAAAAGTTGTTTGGAGGAAACAAGGTTTATTAGTTTTTCATTTTTGTGTCTTATTTGAATAAAGCACACACAATAATCTCTAGTATTAAGTATCTCCATACCTTTCAAAAATCAGGAGGAGATCACCCAAAGGGGACACTTACTATGGGAATTAAAAAAAAAATAATAAATCAAATATAGCAACATACAAACTGACAAGCTATATTCTGTGAGAAGGTTGTTAAAGATGACCTGGAATAATCTTACTACTATTTAATGCAATCTGTTAATACAGCACTATTATGAGTTAGCAGCAACTTTGAAGTCACAAATCAGCTCAGCTGGTACAGCAAAATTATAGCCAAACTCAGCAGTACCATATTCAGTCATCTTCTCACCATAAGCTACTTTTGTTTTTGAGGACTATGTGGTCTACATTTATGTGTGTGCATGCGCTTTGCAAAAGAGAAAGAAAAAAGCATAAAGGGTCTTGCCAAAACAGGAGAGAGGACAATTTCAGTACGCAAATAATAATTTTGTTCAATACACCTTAAGAACTGACCAACTGAGGCACTTGCCTGGTAAGGTGGGATCTGCAAGGTCTGAGGTCAGCAGTCTTGGGGACACATTTTTCCCTGAAGAGAAAAAAACAAAATCATATATATATATATATATATATATATATATGTATAGTCTACTTCTGCTGGTGTAATCATGCTTTCAACAATACTACAGATGCAAACTCCAGATGCCATTTGGTAAGGGAATATAATGCTGAGTAAATACACCATGCTACTGGGGAAATATTTTTTTCATGAGCCTGAAACTATGTTGATTGCTTGAAGCAAAAGACAAATTCAGTGGTCTGTATAGCATTACTATTTGGAATGTCTGTCTGGGTGATGCATGACCTCTGTAAAACATTCCCCACAAAAGTTCCACTGAGGCTAAAACATGCTTAAAAGCATAGAGTTCTAATAAAAAATAGAAGGTGGAACTGAATTCATACGTAGATAGGAACCTGAGAGAGAACTGGCCTTCAGTTGGATTTTTGACTCTTCTGATCAGACAGGAAGAGAACGGAAATACTATCAATTATGTTTACTGAAATACGGTAATACCTCAGCAAAGAATAAGGAGGCTTTAAATCTCTTAAGCACCCAAGAATTCTGTATTATAGAAAGTAATGCTTCTGAATGCAACCCTACATCTAAAATAGGCAGCAAGAGGGAAAGCATTACTGTGTTCACATCAACAAAATACAGAATGTAAGCTACATGTATGACAACAGGCAAGTGGAAAATGGGTACATAAAAGAAGATGAAGCAGAAAACCTTTAACACTGAAATATACCTGTGGAAGCACCTGTGTCAAAGCATATAGCTTAAGCATATAGCTTAAAGTACACATTAAAACTTTGAAGCGAAAGATACAGCTGTGCAGCTTATATAGATTTTTAAAATTTTTCAACTCATTCCCAAATGGGAAAGCTGGTCTTAAACGGAGAGACCAAAGCCATGACTTAAAAGTAAAACGAGCAGGTTGTACAATGAGATCAGTAAGAAGGTACTTTACTGGGAAAACCTGAGAACTGTCATACTGTCAAGCTTTTATAATACATTTTTAATTTGAAACCAGTTGGCACAAAGGAACACTCAGATTTTGTCAATGCTACCAACTTATAAAATGGGAGAACTGTCATGAAACAGGAACAAAGTGCTAGTTACTAGATCTGCAACCCTTCCTTTCTTGGTTGTTTATTCAACCCTCAGCTGTTATCAGGGCACTGGGCTTGCCATGTCACACATCATGCCAGCTGCTAACTGATAGGGAACTGTACAGCTTATCATGACATCCGACATTTTCATTGCAAACTTCAGGTGGGCCAAAACTGACTACCGGGAAGGAGCTTCTTGGACTGTTCAGGCAATCCCTTTGCAGCATAATGGAGAGCTACTCTGTCTGGGGCAGCAAAGGTGCAGAGCTGCTCCAGCCATGAAACACACTCCTTATCTGCAAGATTAAAAATTAATTGAATTACCTGCTGCTATTGCTAAATAAGTAAGTTTATTTTTATAATAACTAAACTTTACTACACGAGTTTTCATGAGAGGAAGTTAATGTCACTTTCTACTCTCAAAAGAGAGGAAAACCTCACAGAGACTACTCCTTTCACAGGCCAAGCCCTATTACTCACTAGCAAGAGAATGTCTGGGTGCAGAGTCCTCACAAGCCTACGCTCCCAAAGCCAGGGACTGCCGGGGCGCAGGGCGCTGCTGCAGGTCCCACTCAGCCCTGCCTAGGACACCCCCCGGGCAGCTCCAAACCGCCACAAGCCGTGGACAAGCACGCACACAGATCAGGGGGCAGACCCCGTGTACGGCTGTGTCTCCCCCAGGCACGCCTCGGGGGCCCGGCGGCATACAAGGCCTGCAGCGGACCGCTCCGCGCCTCGCTCCCCTGCAGAGCCGGTCCCCGCTTACTGCCACCCGCGGCAGTGGGTGCCACCGGGCCGGGCTGAAGGGCCGCGGCAGACACCCAGCGCGCCGCTCACACCTCCCGGGACCGACACCCCCCGCCCCCTCCCGCCGGTTCTAACGGGTTGGAGGGACGAGAGCCCTCGGGCTGGGCGAGCCGAGGCCGCACCACCGTCCCTTCCCCTCAGCGCCGTGCGCTGAAGCGCGGCCCCGCGCGGCGGTACCTCAGCAGCTCCCGGCGCTCACAGGGCCCGCCGCCGACCGCAGCCCCGCCCTCCTCCGCACCCCCCTCCCTGCCAGCGCCGCGTCCCGTCGCCTCCCGTCGAGTCTCCCCCGCCCTCGCGCGGCGGCCGCACGGCGCAGGCGCGCGCAGTACGTTGACTGTCAGGTCGCTCTGACGTGTCGACGCCGCGGCCCGGCCTGGGACAGGGCGGGAGGGGGCGCCGGCGGTACCCACTCGTCCGCGGCCGTTACACCCCCCCCCCCTCCTTCGGCTGCATCACGCCATGTTCAACGTGGAGAGCCTGGAGCGGGCCGAGCTTGGGGAGAGCCTCCTCACCTGGGTGAGTGCCGCGGCCGCCGGGCCCCCGCCCGAGCTGGGCCTATGGGAGGGACACGGCTCCGTCCGTCGCCCTCCCTTCCCGGTCCTGTCTCCCGCGCCTGGCCTCGTGCCGCGGTCCTGCTCCGGCGGGAGAGGACGGTCTCGCCCCGCCTCCCTGGCCCGGACCGCGCCCTGGCGCTCGGGCCAGCTCCAGCCCGCCCGGGGTCGGCGGAGCTCTGGCGGACCCGCCCCGCCTCGCCTCATCCGTCCGTGCTGAGGGTGTGAGGGGCTGCCCGGGGCAGCGGGACGGGCTCTTCCGCCGCCGCGGCCGCCTTGGCTCTGCCGCCGCATCGAGGGAACAAAGAAACCCACGCCCCGCGGCGCCGCGACCGGCACGGCTGGGGGGCCGGGGCCTGCGGCAGAGCGGCGGAGGGTAAGCGCACCTAGGTGCGTCCCCCACCACCCCCGTCGTGCGCCCTGGCGCAGCCCTCTGCTCTGATCCCCCAACCGTGCCCTGGTGTGGCTCCGGTGTGTCAGTGCCGCGTTTCTCTAACCTGCCTGCTGCGCTCGACAGGCTTGCTTACCAGAAACTTTCTTTTGTGTGTTGCTTTCCCGTTATTTTTAAGTAGTGCTCGAGCCTCAAGAGACAAAATTCACCTGTGAAGATAATATACTATCAACCTAAGAGTTGTCCTTTTCGATTTTAATGTTCGGAGCCTGGTCCATAAACATCTTGAGGTTGTGCTGTCAGTGTTTACAGAGCTGTCAAAATGGAAGCTGGCTTTGCAGCTGCTTTGCAATTTGAGCAATGAATGTAACATAGCCGTGAAACTTGTAGTGCTATAGTAGCTGGTCTATTGGTATGACTTGATTTGGTTTGGGGACTGTTTGGTGGTGTTTTCTTTCTCCTTCCATGAGCAGAGTTGTCAAGAAAATATCCAGTATATAAAATTCTGGGGAACAACTGATTGCTGAAGAGAAATGGAGATTTTGTCTTTTAGACAAAAAAGCTTAGTCTGTGCAAGGCCAGAGCTGGCTAAAGCTATGATGGTAATCAGTAAGTTACTGGGGAACGACAGATTAGGTTTCTCTGTGAAAGTCACAAGGGGATGAGTAAGGGAAATTCAGTGATTGCTAGAGGTGAGCAGGACTTTGGAAACTGTTGAAGGTGGAGGTTTTTGGGGAGAGTGTGCTCCAGTGCCTCATACAGGTCTGGAGTAAGTAGCCCAGTTTCCTTCACATTTCTGCCAGCCTTTGCACATTTGTTGCAGTTGGCCGCTTGTCCTGCTTTTAGTTTCATATACTTTCTTTTTCAGGTGTTGGCAATGAAAGTTACCTTACTGACAGAATTCAAGAGGAAGTTGATGTGTGTGAATCCTGGCAAAGAAAGGCTGAGAGGCCCAGTGCTAGGAGAAAGAGAAAGGCTTACTGGTGGGGGTGGGGAAGTGATGGGGGTAGATCTGTATGCTGCTAGTTTCCATGTGCTTTTGCTCTAGTTGTCTTAGTTATGCTTTTCTTGTGCTCTCTGGCTGTTGTGCCAATGGGGGAAGAATAAGCTTGCCTAGCAAGTAGTTACAGTCCCCAGGCATTCCTAGCTCCTTGGATTTCCAAGTAACCAACAGATTAGCTCTTTCTTTTGTGGTGAGACAGTAAGCTGCTGCAGAATGAAAGAGATGGAATTTTCTTTTGTATAGTATTGGCCTGTGACTAGAGTGATTTGAACTGTTGATCTTACCCACCAATTGCAGGTTGGACAAAATTGTCAATGACTTGAGAATTCTTTATTGAACTACAACAACTGTACAGAACTCTGTGTTAAGTCTGACAAGAAATTTAAAAATATTCCAATATTCTGTTACTTAAGTATGCCATTCAGGTTTGGTTTTGAGGGGTTAATATTTCAATAAAGTTTCATTTTAGAACTTTGTGAGGTTTAGGTGATTGCTAGCCAGCAAGGGAAATCACAAAATGCATCCAGAAGGCAGTGGCTACTTCAGTGGTCCCCAGAAGAATTCTTTTTACAGCCCACTGTAGTACAAAGCAGTGGTTTATATATGTTCAAAAGGATAATTTTATCAAGTTTTCAAATGTGGTGGAAGTTGGATTAGTGTTGCTGGAAAATAGGAGTCTCCAGTTCTTGTTTGTGGAGATGAAGAGAACAAGTTTATCTACATGAAGTCTGTTCAGTGTTAGTGAAGATCTCCACTGATTTTCTTGCATTAAGCAACGTCAGCAAAGCAGTGGAAAGAACTAGTGATTTTTTGTTTTGTTTTTTCCCTGCCAAGTTTGAGGTTGGTAGTTGAGGCAGTTGATCTGTTGAGTAGCAAACTTTGTTGTTACCCTTGAAAATCATTTGCATTTTCTTAGAAAAGCTAAACCATTGAAAAAAAAAATTACATTGATGCTAAAAGTTGTGCTGGAAAAGTAGACGTAAAAATAGAAAGCTTAGAGAGAGAAATCACAGCAACAGAAAAAGTCTTGTGGTGCTGGCCATATGTAAAAGTTATTACTCAGTCATATGGTGATGTTTGAGCAGTAGTTAGTATTTATAATATTCAGTCCTGAAACTGTACCTGTCAAGTGGAGTCTTGTCCTGTCTGCAGTAATGGTCCATGGGGATCCCTTTGCATTTCTAACCTTTACAAACCTACAGATACTGACCTAATCAAGAAACTAGCTGTGTCTTTTTTTTTTTTTTAATCAGAAATATTAGAAAATATTTCTTAAATAGCATTAGAATTAGTCAACGTGCTTCTTAGGTGAATCTGTGGAGTTACTGGTTATTTTTACAATTTCAGTATATCTCTGTGAGTGTGACTTTGAAACAGACTCAGTAAGAGAATGAAGAAAGGTAGTTTCAGTTTATTCCAGGATACATGGAACTTGCAAAAGAGACAGTGAAGTTTTTTAGTCCTCAGTGAAACTGTAAGAATAAGATGCCTTTTTGCCTAGCTTTCTCTGGTCTCATAATGATTCTTGGTAAACCGTTCATGTAGATGGAAGCAGAGAGCTACCTTGATTGCAGTTTACGCATACCTGGGATGGACAGTCTTTTCCATTATTCCAGAGAAGCTGTCTATTCTTAAGAACTGGTTTAACCTCCCAGGTTGCTTGCTTCATATTCATATGGAAGTACTTGAACTGGTTTCTCTGTGGTGTAAGTAGGGTAGATAAGGCTTTCTGCAAATCTGAGAACCTGTTCAGCTTAAACTGAATGTTTGCTTGGGTGGATGCAGGGTGCAATGAAACTGTTCTTCCCTCTGCAAACTCATTATTTTAATGAATGAGAATATCCCTCAAGCCTTTTACCTTGCATTCCTATTCTGGTGTCTTTAAGCTGGGGCATGTTGCTTACCTATGAATATGTTCTGTTTTATTCTTTAGTAATTTCACCAACACTCCATTTTTGGTGTTACGCTGCAGTTTGGGGGTTTAATTCTCAGGTTTTTTTACCTGTATGAGAACATTATCAAATGTGCTCCTAAATAATTTTTGTTCAGGATTTTAAACAGCTGGGAGACCTTTTGCTTCCCACCGCTTCAGCCCTGACCATGATGTTATTTTGAGGCAGCCAGGGTAGTGGCAGCTCAAGGGAAACTTAGTGAAGGACTGGAGCCCAGTTACTGACATCTCAAAGTTGGTATTCATACTTTAGCAAGGTTTGTAGCCTACTGTAATTGCAGAACTGTTACTCTACCAGAAATCTCCCAGAAACCTCTCCGAGACTGTTCTAGGCACTGTGGTGTAGCTATCCAAACTGCACTGCAGCCAAAGCAGTTTAGAAAAATGTGGCTGTGAGGTAAACCTGCAATGATATTAAAATTGTTTCAGTGTATCAAATACAGATTCACACCATCTTTCTGTTTAAAATTTATGACTCATCCAGATACAAACACGCAGATTATATTTTTTTTATTATTACTTCTATGTAGTGTCAGGAATGCATTTAACTTGGATACATCACCAAGTCATTTCGTAAAACGGAGAGCTGACAAATGTGCGTGTGGCAGTTAAGCTTTAGTACGTCTGTAGCTGAAATCAGTGTTATGGTTACAGCAACACTGTATGCTATGTAATCTGTGAAATTTTCTTCAACGTAGAGCTAAAATGTGATGCTCAAGAGCTGAAAAAGGTTGCTTAGCATTGGTGTGTAAACAGCAGGATTCCTCAAAGAGGTCACTGCTGGCTGGCTATACATGGTAGATTGCTATGGAGATGTCATGAACTTTCATTCATTATGATAAGTGTCTCTTATTTTGCCAGGTACTGCCTCTGCCAAGCTGCATCTTGCCTGTTTTCTTTCTCTTCCAACCCTCAAGGCCAAATATAGTTTCTGTGGTAGACATATTGCAACTTTTAGAAGTGAGAATTTTGTAAACATGTACAAGGCTGTTTTTTTGGCACCCTCCATTTTAAAAGCACTCTGGCCATTTACGTGGCTTTTCTCGTTTTTGGCTGAAAAATCTTCTCAGTACACAGTGTATCTCTGTAGTGGCTTGTCCCAAACTGGAATGATTTGCATGTGTTATTTGAGATACACAGACCATGTGAGCAAGTGCTGCTTGTAAGTGCTTTCTTTGTAGGCACCCTCGTTGGAGAGAATAAAATCTTCTGGCATTTACTAGGAAAGCTGTATTTTCCTTTACGGTCCAATTACCTCCTTTTTAGAGTAAGTTGTCTTGATTTATATGCATTTATGGTTTTAAGTACACTTCTGGTTTCTTTTACATGCCCTTGGAGCATGTAGGAGACTCGCTAAGCCTGTTTAAATTCTTTCCTCGTTCAATCCTTGATCACTGACCACGAAGTTGTAGGGTTTCATTTTCTTCTGATGATATCATCACATCACCATCGCTTACCTCTTGAAGAAAACATCCAGTTTCAGGACTCGTTGATTATGCTGGTGATGACAGCAGGTCATGAAGATAGTTCTGTTTAAATGTGTTTCACTTCAGACAGACAGGGGAAAAACACTGAGCTTGCCAGCATGGTGCATGGATTGAGGTATCTGGCAGACCACAGCCCCTGTATGTGCTGCATTTATTGGCAAAGCAGTAGGTTGAGCAACCATTTCTACTTTTAATGATCACTCACTAAGATGGTAAAGAATTTGTTGCTCCATCCTTTAGGTGTAGTTGTCTAAGAGAGTGATACTCTGAATTTATCGTCACAGCACGCAGCATTGTTCGGGTTGGAAGGCGCCTTAAAGATCATCTAGTTCCAACCCCCCCTGCCATGGGCAGAGACACCTTCTACTAGACCAGATTGCTCAAAGCCTCATCCAGCCTGGCTTTGAGCACTGCCAGGAAAGGGGCAGCCACAGCTTCTCTGGGCAACCTGTGTCAGTGTCCCACCATCCGCATAGTAAAGAGTTTCTTCCTAATGTCTAATATAGATCTACCTTCTTTCATCCACTAGCTGGGGTGCCTAGCACTATTATTAGATTATAGGATTTTTTTTGACCTATTGCTGAGAGGTCAAGCAGTGGTAGAAGTACTTCTTTTAAATATTTTATTGTAGAACAAGTGATATGAGGCTGATAATGTATGAATGTGATAATTAAAGATAATAAGGTACAGTTTGTATTCTCCCTCACCCCCTTCTTTTAAGTCACAACTAGGAAGGAAAGCTGAACACAGAATTTGGAGGTGCAGGCATTTTTCTTCATATATGTGTTTTGACACCGTGTTAATTTTCATTCTTTGGGGCCTTGTCCCAAATTCTGCCTTCTAAAAATTTGTTTTTATCTGAAGTGATGCTCTATAGCAGTGGTACGTTTATAACAATTGCTAGTTCACTGAACAAAAACCAGTTAGTTGTGATTCAGTGTGTGCTCAATTTCAGCTCCTAGTTCTGCCCC